TGAAGTCTCCAAGGTCAATTGTCCTTTCCCATCTCAGAAGAACTCGTCTGCCTTAAGGAATTATTCAGCATCCTCTTTTAACATGCACAAGTGGCTGGAACAGGAAATTCAGGCTCTGAGCCTTATGCCATGTAGCATAAGAATTGGTTGTAAAGGCGCCACCAGCTGCATGCAGGCCCTGTGAGAACAGTGCTTACAAGAGTTCTGTCCCTTTGAAGGGGGCAAGTGGAGGGCTTTGGGTTGGTGTTCCTTGATGTTGCTTTTTCAGAGAGACAGTCCAGACTCAGAGTTTGACAGATTGAATTACATAAAGTGGTTGTCATGGGAAAAATAATTAGGCCATTTCTTTTTTTAAAATTTTATTTTATTATTAGTTTCAAGTATACAGTACACTGGTTAGACATTTATATAGTTTATAAAACGATCCCCCTAATTCCTCTTTCCTCTAGCTCTCTACCTAGCCATTACATTACTGCTAACTGCATTCTCTGTGCCGTGCTCCCCATCCCCATGACCATCTATCAACTATTAATTTGTAATTCTTTAACCTTTCACCTCTTTCTCCCAGCCCTCCAACCGCCCCCCCACCCTCTGTCCATCACCAGATTGTCCTCTGAAGTTGTGAATTTGTTTTCGATTAGTTTGTTCTTTGTGTTCCTTAGATTCCTCATATAAGTAAGATCATATGGTATTTATCTTTCTCTGTCTGACTTATTTCACTCAGCATAATAACATCTAGGTCTATCCATGTTGTCGCAAATGGTAGAATTTCATTTTTTAAGTGTAGGCCATTTCTTAAAGATAGTGCTTCACACCCAAGGGCACCAGAACTGTGCTTCCTTCCCCAGTGGGGGGGTGGAATGCACTCTGTCAGCCACACCCTCTCCTGGCTCTTTTGGCAAACAAATAGCACCTTTTTGCTGTTAGGGGGAAACCACTTTAAGAAAAATTATTTAAAATTTCTAAATAAGGCAAAAAGTGGGCAACGTGTGCATTCAATGTCATGTGGGACACTGGCACGACCAAGGATTATTTATTACAGTAGACTTTTTTGAGCACTATTTACTGTTACTTAAAGGTCCCAGGCTTAGTGCACTTGAATATCTAAGGTGTAGATTTTTTTTTCCAGTAGAGTTGCAAATGATTTCTCTTTAATAGAAAAAAATAATCCCAACAGTATGGCGTCTTGCCCTGTAGGACATTAACCACTTTTATATTTATGCCAGAACTCTTATCCCAACCTTGCTACAGTAAGCTGTCTCTAAACTCCCAGGTTTTGAAATCATCTGAAAGTTTTGTTTCAGATGTTTTAAGACACACTTTTTTCTTTTATTTTAGGCAATATTTTCTAGAAATTACATGAAAAACACGGGTACATTTGCAGCAGTTACGGCACCAATCCCATTTTTGGCAGGTTTGTTTCTCACCACTGTTTCTCGTGTTACATGTCTCCTCTACTTTCTCTTTTCTTGGGTTCATTTTGCTTGAAACCTCCTTCAATATTTTATTTCTGTGAATGTCTCCTTTGGTAGTATAATTTCTCTGATTCTCTTCATTTCACGATTCTTAAAAATTTATTAGATGATTGTTCAAAAATGTAGATGTGACCATGGGGGGAAATGAGATCATAAACGAGACACATAGGAAGAGTGGTAAGAGGTAGAGGGTGATCTAGATGAGTTAATTCTGATGCCTCAGAGCAGAGAGTCAATAGACAAGAAGTGGTAAAGTAAACACATAACTTAGACTAAGGAAGTAACTCCAGAAAAACCCAAACCAAAAGCCACGAAGTTCTCAGCTCTGGGATGGGTAGGTGAAACCAATAGTCAGCCCTAAACATGCTTTGATATTAGGTCACAGAAGCTAGAGATATAGGTACAGACTTTAACTAAATGCTTCAATTGCTTTGGTTGACACATAGCTTAAAATCAAAGATTAAGAAAGTATATTAGTCATGTCCTAGAGGCCTGCCCGTAAAGCGAGTTCCAGAAGAAATGTTTAAAAGTAGACTTTGCTTGGGATGATAGAAAAATGTAGCTAGTTAAATAAGCACAAACCAATAATAGCATTGGAGGAGTAATGGTCATAAGATGAATAGCTTTTGCTTTTACACACAAAGATAACCATATTGACACTACCCCACCACCATCTTGCTGAAGCTGGAACGCCAGGATGAAAACAGCTAGTCAGAAGATGAAAATTCACTGCTTACCTAACCACTGACGAATCAGCAAAGGCCCACAACCCGAAACCGTTATGCATGATTTTTGCTTTATAAAAACTCTGGCCTGTAAGCTGTCTGGGAGTTTGGCTTTTGAATAGCAGCTTGCTGTTCTCCTGGCAGTGCCATTCCAAATAAAATAGCTTGTCTTTCTTCACTGCAAAACCCAGCGTCAGTTCTCAACTACTCGCTGCACGTGAGTGGGCTTGAGCTCTCACTCAGGCTACATAGGAAAGGAAAGAAGAAGGGAGGACAATTAAGGGACTGTTGCTCTTACTATAGTGTTTTTTGTCCAGTTTTACTCTTTAAATGTGAGCCTGCATTACTTTGATAAGAAAACATTTTTTTAAAACGCAAAGAGGGTTCCTACCAGATCTGGAATGTGAAATCGGGTTTTCTGTGAGTGACTCAGCTGTTTTTTGGGCCATATAGAGATTAAACCACACAGGAGCTCATAGAATCACTCTCTCTTTCTCTTTCTAACACATACACACACACACACACACTCCCACATGCCTCATGGGGGTGAGTGCTTGTGTACAGGTGCATAGCCAGGCTCCTCCCAGGTTGCCCAGGGAGTTCCCCCAGGAGCTAAATTTCTTCTGTCTGCTTCCTCAGTGTCCAGTGTGCCGACCATTTTGTTTCCAGACAACAATCTGTCCACCCAGCCCACTCCCATCCCTCATGACTGTCTTCTGCTAGTTTCTGGGCTTGTATTTCTTTCTCACTTCAGGACATAGAGGAAACAAGGCATCACTTAGGTCACTCACCAAGTGCTCTGAGACCTTGCTCCTCCTGGCCCCCGGACTCAGCCCAATCTCCCTAACTCATTCTGCTTCCTTAACTTGAGGCTCTTAAGAGATATGCTCCGCTCCCCAGGGACGCTGGGTGGGCCTAACTCCAGACTCAGGCCCTTCAGTACTGCTCCCCACCACTATCCTGAGGTGGGGATGCTCAGAAGGCTGCCATAAGAGATAGGGGCTCGAGAGCCCCCAATAGTCCACCTCTGCAGCGGTGGGAACCCAACACATCCTGGGCCTGGTAACAGCCACTGGGGCCCCCAGTCCTGTCTATGGCAGTTTCGGTTTGCTTTCATCATCTTTATTATGAAAACATATGGCGCTTGGAATTTTGGGGGTACTCATTGTTTCTAATTTGACTATCTCACATCACATTAAAGTGACCTTTTTCACTTCATACAAAATTTCTTGTTCACACTTTTAATTCTCATTTACTTTGACAATGCAGTGGATGGCATCCTGCAGTTTAGGTAAATTGAAAATAATTGTTCTGCTATTTGGAGCTACAGGGATTTTTATAAACCCTCTGTTTCATTATTTGATGTGGGCTAACTAGTTCAATCTTTGAAATTCTGTTAAACATTTCCTTATTTCAACTGCCATACATAATGAACTGCAGCCCAACTCGATCATTTCTTTTTATTAAACTATTTATTTTGAAATAATTGTAGATTCATAAGAAGTTGCAAACATAGTACAGAGTCCTGCATACCTGTCACCCAGCTTGACCATTGGTGACATCTTATATAACTATGGTAAAATAACAAAACTGGAAAACTGACATTGGTACAATACCATTTACTGGACTATAGGCCTAATTCATATTTCATCATTTTTACAGTGTGATTGTGTGTGTAGTTCTGTGCAATTTTATTAAATATGTAGATTCATATATCACCATAATCGAGATATTATTCCATCACCATAAAAGAACTTCCTCAGGCTGCCCCCTTTTAGTTAACCCTCTCTCCCCTTCCCTGACCCCTGGCGACCTGTTCTTTTAAAAAAAATTATTAAAATTGTTGGGGTGACATTGGTTAATAAAATCAAATAGGCTTCAAGTGTACAATTCAATAGTAAGTCCTATATATATTGCATCGTGTGTTCACCACCCAAAGCTAAATTTCCTTCCACCACCAAATATTTGAGCCTCCCTCCCCTTTTCTATCTTCCTCCCCACCTTCCCTGTGGCAGCAACTAATCTGAGTCTCTGTTTGTTTGTCATGTTCGTTTATTATTTTTAGTTTTATATCCCACGTATAAGTGAAATCATATGGTTCTAGTGCCCTGTTTTGGCTACTCTGTTCTCCATCTCTGTAATTTTGTCATTTTGAGATTATGTAATATTGAATCATATAGTATGAAACCTTTTGGGATTGAACTTTTTCACTTAATAGAATGCCCTTAAAATCCATCTAAAGCATTGCATCATCTAGTTTGCTAAAGTGGTGAATTACACTAGTTGATGTTTGATTATTAAGTAAACCCTACCATCCAAAGATAAAGCACACATGGTAGTAGTGTATTATCCTTGACTAAATTGTTAGATTCAATTTGCTAAAACTTTATTTAGAATTTTTGCATCTATGTTTTTGAGGGATATAGGTCTATATATTTTTTAATTTTTGTTTTTTTTCCAAACTTGTAATGTGTCTGGTTGTAGTATCAGAGTGGTGCTGGATTTACAGAAAGAATTGTACAGTATTTCTTCCTCTTTATTCTTTGGGCCAGAAGCAGCAGGTGCTCAATGAATACTCTTTGCGTAATTTGGAGGATGAAAAAATAAACTAACATGGAATATATAAACAGAGTTCAGGCTGGAAAAAAGCGTAATATAGAGAACACATTGTCAGCTGACACCAGGCCATTGACAAGATGCAGCACAGTTCACATTCACTGTCTCTCCTCTTCACTCTAAATCGTGGGGATTCCTGTCCTATTTAACAGATGAGGAGCCCGATAGGTCAATAGGTCGTTACTTGTCAAAGGTCCTTTGGCTGCATAGAGTTGCTGCAAACTAAATGCACTGTCCTTCTTCCCTCCCCTCCTCAGGACAGCCATGACCCCTGACCCCGCACAGAGAGGCCAAACCCTCCTCATTTGGAAGCCATCCTGCTGTCTGCTGCACAAAGCTGGACCCTGAGAGGAAGTTCAGTGTCTGGAGGGAGAGTGTGAGGTGTGATTCCCTCAGGGCATCATCCTGGAGAGGAAGAGTATGGTCACCTGTGGGGAGGGCTCTAGGTTGTCTGTGTCAGAAAGCACTTCTTTCTCTGATTCCTGGGACACTGGGCAAATCACTATGGAAGTCATATTTTCCTCATCATTCACATAATGCTGGATGTAGGGCCTCAGTAACCCTTCAAACTGATGTGTCAGGGTATAAATGAAGGACTGATCATTTACATTGAAGAAGGAGATTGCCCCAACCTCATAGTCTAGCGTGTAGGGGGGGTTCTTGGAGAGAGGATGATTCTATGAGGGTTAAATGTGAAATACTGATTTTCTTTCTCCAGTCCTAACACCCAGTATCCATTTTTGGGAGACAAAGTCACATCTGTCATCTCCATGTTCACGTCATCCCGGCACACTCCCAAGGACCACATTTTATTGCACCCCACGTTCACCTCCCAGTAATGTTTTCCTTCCTGGAATCCCTGAGAAGCCACCACACACTTCTTTAGAAATCTCTTCTCCAAAAAAGTCGCCATTTGGGTAACGTTACTATAGGACACAGCTTTCAGATCAGAAATGTAGACCTGCAGATGAACCATGTCAGAGTCCAGAGTCACCTCCACTGGGGTATGGTGGGAGAGAGAAAGCAAGAGGTACTGAGAAGGGACCTGGGCTGGATGCAGAGGTCACCCCCTCTAACTGTAGACTGGCTCAGGGTGGAATCCATTGCAGTTCCAGAGCCAGAGGCTCCATCAGACACTTCCCCTGGCCCTGCCTCATCTCCATTGTGGCCCTGGAGACTCACCAAAGCCTGGGGATGCCCAACTGTGAGCCCAATAATAGACTTTGTGAGCCCTGGACCATCTCTCCTAACCAGCCTCCTCCTATCCTCGGTCCTAACAAACTTTGCTTCCTTCCCCTGAATCCATCCCCTTGGCCAGTCACTAGTGCCCTCAATACCCTAAAGCTTATCCTGTGATCCTTGCCCTGGCTGACTCATACCAGCCCTTCCTGGTCCTGGGCCAAGAAATGTGTCTGCAGAGAGCTGCCCCTTGGGGTGGATCCAGGCCTCACAGATTTATAATCTGTAGTCCAGCATGCTTGGTTTTCCTGTTTCCCCATATCTGTCACTGGTCAGCTCCCTCTCCCACACCCACCCAAGTCTCTTTCCCACCGTCACCCTCTCAGGCATTGGTACCTGCATGTTTCCGGGCGTCTCTCAGTTCTGAAAACAAGCAGACAGCACAGCAGGGTCAGTGCTCACACAGAAAGCAGGATACAGGAAGACAGGAGACCAAGGATGGTTAACCTTTTTGGGTATCACAGATCCACCAGAGACCTGATGAAGACCATGGGATTCTCTACAAAATGCACCTTCCTCAGAATCTGCAGACAATTTGGGGCCCCCATCACAAGCTTGTCTCTGCAGAGACCCATGGCCTCGGGTTATAAGACTGATAAACTAGGGACTTGTAAGAAAGAGGTAAATAGGGGCGGAGGAGATAGTTTCTCTCACCTGACACTCCATGCTTCTTTCTCCAGTCTGAAAACCGAAAACACAGAAGAGGCTGAAGTCACAGATCAGGGGCCCAGGACAGAGTGTGAAAGGAAAGCTCTATAACACTCTCACCCAGTTTCCTGGTGTTTCCAGGACACGAAGAGCAAAATATCCTGGGCCGATAGAAGCCTGGAATGCTTGGCTCAAAGTCCCAAGCCAGGTGGGAGGTTGAGGGAAATGCTATACAAGACATTCTGGGTCCACACCTCTCAGAAAGCTCATGAAGTCTACGGTTCCTCTCCCCAAAGAATGTACCAATGGGCAAAGTTGGCAGACAATTTCAGAATCCCAATGCCCATCTTAAACCCCCTACATGTCTGAGGATCTGTTCACTAGTCAATGGATGAGGAGGGTGAATAGCTACCCTTGTTGGCCTGCCCACGCTTCCCACTCAATCCGGAGCTGAGACAGCACACAGATGCCTCAAACTGTGGAACAGGAGGGACTCAGGAGAACTGTGGGGAAGGCTCAGAACATGATATGACACTTACCCAATTCTGCCCTGGTTTTTCCTGAAACAAATAGAAAATCCGGTTGTGGACATAGGAGTGTTTAAGGTACAAACACAGCCCTGGCTCATTGCTAAGGAGGAGAAACTGTGGGCAAAGGATGGGGGCTCCCCCAGGACTCTCCTTTTGTGCCCCCACCCCCACCGAACCCCCTCTCTACTATCTGGGGTAAGACAAGATATCAGGAAAGTTTGTGCTGAAGGGAGGGGCTGATATCTGGGATCCTGTGGAGGTTAAGATGGAAGTTATCAAGGAGATAGAGGATGGGAGGGGAGGAGAGATTATGACATGGGTTGTCAAAGGGGTTGTGTCATCCCCCAAAAAAATAAAATCAAAAATTTTTTTACTTAAGTTTTGGCGCTGTTCTTAGGAATTTATTTTGTATGCAGGTACTGAAAATCATGCTTCTCCTAATTCTTGGCCATTATTGAAGTAGGAAAAGCTTAGTGGAGGCTGGTGTTCCTCAAGTAATCTATATCAGGCAGCATGGAGAGGATGAGAGCTATGGTCCCTGTGGCCCAGGTGATGGGCTCCTAGAGCCCATGGCTCTGAGAATAGACCCAGGAGTTGTGTGGGAGCATCCCTGGTTCTGGCCCCATTGAAAACCGAATGTGCCGGAAGCCCATCCTTCACCTTCTCACTCACTTTTGGATATTGAGTAAAATATCACTTCCCCTGCGATTCCAACACACAGGACACAGCTGAGTATTCCCAGTAAAATGGAAGCCAAGCGATAGGATGAGAACTGGAAAAAAGTCTCTGAAAAACAATTCATGGATCCTTAATGATTACTGAAAGGTGAATGCAATTTGATTCTCATTTAAGGATTCCTCTTAAATCCCAAGATGAAAAGGATTTTATTTTTATGTATAAAATGATGTAGAGGTTTGATTTCATTTCCTTCTAAATGGATAACAACTATGCCAGCATTGTTTAATGGACCTTCCCTTGCACACTGTTACATGTAATGTCACCTCAGTCTACATCAAGTTTCTATTCAGGCTTAGGTTGTTTCCTGGCTCTCTTCTGTGTCATTGTCCACTTGTATATCTCTCCCAAAACTTTGACTGGCTTTATCATCACAATTCTGAGATGTGTCTCGATATATGTTAGACTAAATTTCTCAGTTTCATCTTATTTTGCTGTGTTTTGGCAATTTGTGGCCATTTGCTCAACCACATAAATTTGGAATTAACTTACCTAGTTCAAAGAAAACTCTTTTGAGATTTTTCAATAAAACTATAGATTCTATAGATCAATTTTGGGAGAACTGATCTTTAAAATATTGCATCACCTTATCTGAGAAGTATTACATCTCTCTTCTTCTTTTAGTCTTCTTTAGTGTCTTTAAATAAAGTTTTATATGATCTTCAATAAGAGTTTGCAAGCATTTTGTTGGACTTTTAATTAATGTATTTTTTGGTTGTCATTATAGATGGCACGTTTATTTTTCTCTTGTCTGGTTTACAAAAAAATTGAAATAAATTTTTATTAATCTCCTATGAACATGATGGATTCATTTATGAATTGAAAAAAAATTAGCTTTATATTCTTCTGAATTTTTATTGTATATCATCATATACCCTGTGAACAATGGCCATTCTGTTTCTTCCTTTTCATACCATCTCTAATAATTTTTGTTTCTTAAAAACTTTTTTTTCTTTCTTTCTCTTGACATTGATATATCTGTTATGATTCTCTTTTTGGTATTATTTGTCTGGTATGCTTTATCTACTTTTTAATTTTTAATAAATACGTGTCATTATTTCTTATGAAAAAGCAACAGTCAAGTTTGAAAAATACAGTCTGATATTCTTTGCTTTCATTGGTTAATTAAATCTTTTGATATCAAGGCCTTTTACATATTTGAGTTTACATAAGTCATCCTATTATTTTTAAATCTTTCCCCAAATTATTAATAGTATAATGATTTAATGGTTTCTAAAATATAAGTGAACTTTATTTTCTTGTTCCTCAAGTTAGCTTTCTTAAATTTTATGTGTTGATTTTGGAGGGTGCACCTTGAAGATGATCATGTGATGAAAAAAATATTTGATTCTACACCTCTGCAATTGTAAACAATTCTGTTTCCACCTAATCAAATTTTATAATATTATTTTTATGCCTCACAGACCTTTGACTTTCCAAACAAATCATTAAACCTGAACAGTACTACACAACAACCCTGAGACAGAGGCTCTTAGTCTCCTTCTGGGCTACACAAACATGCACCCCTACCCTGTCCCCCTCCTCCCCACTCACCTCTTATCCATACCCTGGATTCCACGTCTTGGCTCTGGTCAGGGTACTGGATGGAACATGATATGCTCCCAGCATTTTCTTGGACTATAAGGGAGGTCTCCACATCAAACAAGCCATGTCTGTCTGCATTCACCTTTGAGTCAGAGGGCAAGTCATGTCCTTGTGGATCTTTCCACTTCACTATGGGCTGGGGGAACCAGCCTGAGGACTTGCAGAGTAGCTGGATGCCTTTACCAACATATCCCATAATAGAAACCAGGGGTCCTGAACCCAGGCCTGAAGAGAAAAAAGGGAAAGAATGGAAGCAAAAGCCATAGTTCAAGGCCACAGTTAGTCTGATGCAGGTTTATCAAACCCATAGACATAACACCCCACCCTCATCACTGTTTCTCTCTTACATGAACAAAGACTTATAACACCACTGTAAGCTCTTCCATGGTCTTTATTCAGTCAACATGCATTTAACAACTACTTATACATGGATATTCCTAAGCATTAAATATGATGAAGGAAATAAGATAGAGTTCATTCTAATGAGGTACTTACTGACTTAAAACAGAGACAATTATAAACAAATACACTTCATTGTGAACTATGCAGATAGGAAGCATGGTCAAGTTAGCATTGAGGAGAATGTGATTGTCCTGGGAAGTTATGGCTTCCTGGATGTGACAATTGAAACCTGGTGTGTCAGATGAATAGACAGTTTTATTATGAACAAAGAGAAGCATGATAGGCAGAGGGGAAAGTACATACCTTGGCATGAAGAGTGGAATGCGATAGTATGCTCAAGGACCTACGAGCATTTGGCATGTCAAGATTGTGATACACAAGAGGGGATAGGAGTGATGTCTGGGGGAGGGGCAGTGGTAAGACGTGGAGTGAGTGTACTGACCTAAAGAGTGTGAGCCATTGTCCTGCAGGCACTGTAGGCACTATGGGGCTGTTGGCTGGCTTCCAGCAGGCAGGTAAGAGTTATGACCAGGCATGAGTCTCAGAGAGACCCCTGGGCAGCAGCATGAAAGAGGGGTCCCTGGGAATCCTCAGAAGAAAGCAGCTAGCGAGAGTCACTCAGGTGAGAGATGAGAAGGTCTAGAAAAGCACACTGTGAGAAGGGGAGAAACAGATGCAGGGAGATTGATTTCACAGAACTAACAAGAGGATGAGGAAGGGTTTAGCCTGACTTCCAGACTTGTGACTTGAGAGACCATGGAGAGTACCCCATTCAGGGGTAAACTCTGTTTGATGATTTGTTATTGTCATCTCCCCAACCCAAACAGAACTTACCCCTATGTGCTGTTCTCTTTCATTCTCCAGGGTCTGGACCAAATAAAAGGAGCCAAATAATGTTTGTTGAGTGAATAAATTAGAGAAGGAATTATGGTGCAAACACCAAGGAAGGGGATTTAGTCTAATCTCCTCCTACTCTCCGCTCTATGTAAAACTATAAACCCTGGAAATAACACAAGAGGCAACCATAGAAGAACTTTGAGAGGTGGAAAGAGGGAGGTGGACTGACTAGGTACCCAGAACTGGAGGATGAACGCAGAACAGCCAGATATCTTATGATTCTCATCCTTCACTTTGAGACTGTTTTTTCTCTTTGCAGCTGACATGGGTCCCCTAAAGGCAACATATAGTTGGGTCTTGTTTTTTAATCCATCCCACTATTCTGTGCTTTTTGATTGGTGAGTTCAGTCCATTTACATTTAGGGTAGTTATTGATATATGAGGACTTACTACAGCCATTTTATCTTTTGTTTTCTGGTTATCTGTATCTCTATTGTTTCTTTTTCCCTGTCTGCTCTTTTAGTTTGGTGGCTTTCTATGTTTTGTTCTCCATTTTCTCTTGATTTATGTTATGCGTCTCAGTTCTAGATTTTTGTTTTGTGGTTTCCATTAGGTTTATGTAAAAAAACAATATTTCAGACATATAATAGTCCTTTTTCTTCTGTTTGCATCTTATCTTCATCCACCTGTGCAAATTCAATCCTTTTACTCCTTCTCTTTTATGTTTCTGTTGTCACAAATTATTCCTTTTAAATTGCAAAAGTTATAGTCTTTTTTAAATGCTTCTCCCCCTATTTAACCCTTATGTTACAACTAAGTGTTTAATACCTCATTCTGAAATAGAGTTGCAATTTCCTGTTTCTGTCTGTTTGTTTGTCATCTTAATCAAAGGTTTTTAGACTTTTGTCTTATACTTTGGGTAAAATAAGTCTTTTCAATGTTTCTTGTAATGTAGGTCTTGTGATGGTAAATTCCTTCAGCTTTTGTTTTTCTAGGAAGGCCTTTATTTCTCCTTCATATCTAAGGGATAACTTTGCTGAATATATTATTCTTTGTTGGTGATTTCTCTCTTTCAATAATTTGAATATTTGGTACTACTCTCTCCTAGCTTGCAGGGTTTCTGTTTAAAAATTCAATGATAACCTAATGAAATTTCTTTTATAGGTTACTGTCTTCTTTTCTCTGGCTGCCTTGAGAATTCTTTGTCTTTTCTCTGGCTGCCTTGAGAATTCTTTGTCTTTTACTTTTACTTTGTCTTTTAATTCTTTGTCTTTACTTTTTAATACAATGTGCCTTGGAAGAGGCCTTTTGGGAATGAAATAATTATATGTTCTGTTAACTTTTTGATTTTGAGAATCCAGCCCTTTCCACAGATCTGGGACGATCTCATCAATTATTTGTTTGAATAGGCTCTCTGTTCCTTTCTCCTTCTCTTCTTCTTCTAGTGTACATATTATTCTTATGTTGCCCTTTTTAATAGAGTCAGATAGTTCTCTTAGAGTTCTTTCATTCTTAAAAAACATTCAGTTCTCTCTCTTATTCCCCTTGAGTCATTTCTAGATCTCTACCTTTAAGCTTACTAGTTCTCTCTTCTATCTGGTCTGTTCTGCTTCCAATGCCCTCTAGTGCATTCTCTATCTCATTTATTGAGTTCTTCAGCTCCAGAATTTCTGTTTGGTTCTTTTTTATAGTTTCAGTCTCTTTGGTAAAGTACTCCTTTTGTTTGTTAATTTAACTCCTGAGCTCATTGAGGTGCCTGAGCTTTCTTATATCTTGTTGAGTTTTTTCATAATTGCAGTTTTGAATTCTCTCTTAAATCACAGTCTTCAATGTCTTTGAGCTTGGTTTCCGGAGACTTTTCATTTATTTTCTGAGCTACCTCTTTGCCTTGGTTATCCATGGTACCTGAAGGATAGTTTCTCTGCCTGGGCAGGGAAATCATGAGGGTTTTTTTTTTTTTAATTTTTTTTTTTTTAAGTACTGTTTTGCTCAGTACTTTAAAAAGTACTGTTTTAACAATTCAGTAGGCTGCTAAGTAGAGGTGTTTTTTGTTGTTCTCCAATAGATGGGGAAATAGCACAAGTTTTTGTTTTCTCCTGCTTGCACTATTGACACCACTGGGATCTCAGTGGGGTGGGCCTCCCTCTTTTGGAAAATGCCCTGTATTCCCTGAGGGGTTTGCCATCCCCTCGGTGTCCAGGTTGCCTTGGTCTCAGAGCACCACCTCTGTGGTGAAATGTGATGGGTGATAACTTTCCCGGCCTGCATGCTCCTAATGCTGCCTCCTTATAACCAGAGGTTGTCAGCCAAGCTGTGCTACTTAAGGCATCTCCACTGACTCTACCGGGTTCTGCCTCTACCAGTTTTCACCACTAGTGGTAGAGTTGGGGTTACAGAGTAGGTGAGGGAAAGGGAGATTGCAAGTATGTGGCTTTGTCTTCTTGTTAATAATGGTCAGAGCTAATCCACAGCCGCCACATCTCTGTGTCACATCTCTGCTCTTGTTGTCAGGTTGAGCCCACATGAGTGCTGGCTACTCGGGCCAGAATGTTGCTTCTGCACCTCCTGTTCTCTGGGATGCTGTGTGAGGACTGAAGCCTGGTTCTGCCAGCACTACTTCATCATTTGGGGCCACAGCAGTTGTCTAACTGCATCTGGGCCTCCATCTTTCTTTCCCCCTTTCCACCTCCCCTCCTTATTTCCATAGGCCAGAGGTCCTGATGCATAGATTGCTCAGATGTGTTTGTATTTTGAGCCGAGGATCCTTTGTTGAATAATAGTTGTCTGACTTGTTGTAACTTTAAGGAGAGAAAGTAAGAAGTCTTCTCACTCTGCCATGATGCATAAGTCACCCCCTACAATATTCTTGAAATAAAAGAATTATAGAGACAGAGAACAGGTGCACAATTTTCAGGGGTTAGGGAGGTTGGAGGGTGAGGAGGATGGCTCTGACTACAAAGAGATAGCAGAAGAAGATCTTAACAGTGATGAGATAGATCTATAACCCAATGTGCTGGTGGTTACATAAATCTACATGCATAAAAATGACAGAGAACTATGTGCACGAGACAGAAATGACATGAAAAAAAATTTTTAAGACTCCTCATTCAACAACATGTTCATAAAGTCCCAGATGGTTCTATGAGACAACTAAGTAGTTATGTATTCTCTGAAATAAGCAACTGACCTGAAACCTGCAGCTCCCAAGTGGCTTCCTGGTCATTAGTCTGAGAGCTGAACCAGCATCCATAGAGACCAGTGTCTGAGAAAGTGACCTTCTCCAGCCTCAGGGAGACATGCCCCTCCGCTATGAAGTCCGTCACCAACTCAGTTCTCCCTCGATAGGCTGGCATCTGCACATCGTGCTGGTCTTTCCCTTCTCTGTAGAGGTGCATCACAGCATAGAATTGATCTCTGAAGAACCGTACCTCCATGGCCTCTGCACTTGTCTTAGGAGAGAGGAAGCAGGAGAACACTGCGTCCTCCCCCACCACGACCTGGACGGGCTTGTCTGGTCCAATCACCTGCCACTGGCCTGTGGAAGGGAGCACATCGTTAACATAAACCCAGTGACTTGCACCTGTACAGTCCTTACACTTGGCACAGCACTTCCACACCCGTCACCTCATTCTGTTTTCAAGAACATCCTGACAGATGTAAGTTATTGATAATCCAATTTCCAAAATGAGAAAACAGTGTCTCCGAGACACTCAGTAAGTTAGTCAGGGGCATGAGAGGCATTTTCTAAATGCAGATCCTCTGACTGGAAGAGAATCTATACCCACGTTCTCTCCTCTTTGCCCACCTGCTTCACGACAAACTCACAACAGTCCCTTTCCATCTTCTTCGCTAAAAGCTGAAGACGACTCGTTTTCCAGGAGGGGAGTACGTAACAAAACGTTATCCAGTTTGGGGCAGTTTGTTTCTTTGAGCACACGGTTATGTTTTGTAAATGTTTTGTGAATACAATAATGACCTTGTCCATAGGTTAAACCTTTGTTTGTGCTTCCTTATTTTCTTCATCTACTAGTTCTGCCAAATTCTGAGAGACATGCTAAGACACTGTGACGAAGAGATCTTGCAGTTTTTATTTCAGAGATTTGCTCACTAGTGAATTTATGCTGCGACCATCCTTTCTAAGGAGTGTACTTTCACGTTTGTGTAATAATTTCTTTTCTCCACTTTATAATGTTGGCCTGAATGGGGCTCCATCCAGTGCTTTGTTGGTAGGTGTTACCTTTAGTTGGTTTGTATTTTCTGGATACAGCTTTGTCCTCATCTTTATTTTGAAAATTTTTTCATCATCTTGTTTGAAATGTGACATGTATGTGTTTTCTGCAAGTCTCCCCTGCATGACTCTCAGCTCTGTGGGGACAAGGCCTGTCCGTTTTGCTCAGCACAGCACTCCCGAGCCCAGCATAGTGCGTGGCAGAGATTGAGCTCCACAAACAGCAGTTACATTAAGAATGGTGAGCACTTTTTCTTTTTTTTTGCTCATTTGCTAATAATCATGTCAGTAATTTTCCTGATGTGAATAACATTGATCATTTGTAATGATTAGATTTCTTCTTCACAGAGCTCACAAACTATGGAGGCTCACTCGCATTATCTTCCATAAATACACCTCTTGATTGAGAATGTTGTTTGGTTAATTCACACATATGTACTTCTAATATCTGCACAGACACATGGGAGGTGTGAATATATATGTATCAGAGAAAAGTGAGTCACAGTGTAAATTTTCAAATATGTGAATATATTTATTTTAGCACAATTATTTCTCGGTTTCAAAATGTTTTACGCATTTTCTGAAATGTATTTCACTCATGCATTTTGAAGGACAGTCTTATAAAATAAAATGTGACTTTGCAGCAGGATCTCTGTCCAGCCACTGACCTGGGTTTCTGCCCCTCACCCCACCTCCTACAGTTGGATAGACATGTACCTCCTGCAGACAGCCCCACCTAGGAGCCTGGCCTCTGCTTCCCTGTGAAGGGCTTTCTCTGTCCTTTGGAACCTGCTCAGTCTGGTGCAGGGCAGCCTAGAAGTGCCGACAATTTAATACTAGCAGAGGTTACATGTCACCAGTGGGGGCAGGAGGCAGTGGATATTGGAATGATTCTGAGCTGCCATCAGTTTGGCTCCTCAGAAGCTGTTTTCCATGTCAGTAACCTGCTCATTAGCACATCTTTCTTGAGTTTTCCTCCCTTCCAGCTTCGCTTTGTCCACTCCTTCACTCTCGTTCCCAGAATCACCTCCTAAACAACCTACCTGCACACAGACTATTGTTCCTGGTCTGCTTTAGGAGCCCTGCTTATGTCAGCTGGGCTGCTGGTGGTGGTGCTGCCTTCAGGGCTGTGGGGGGCACTTGAGCTGAGGGAAACGTTTTCTAGAGTGTCTGTTTTCCTGGCCAGGCCTCGCTGCTGTCATTATCCTTGCCTATAGAAGCTCCTCCCACCCTTTTCTCTTCCTTCCCCCAGGGACTAGTGAGAAAAAAACTGTCTAATGTTGAACACAGACTTTGTAGTAATGGAGCGATGTGCTGCATCGCACGTACTTGGTTGAACTCATGTGACCCTTACAGCAGCCCCATCAGGGTGTGATGCCATCTCCTGTCCCTATGAGCATGCTGATACTTGGAGGAGTCATGAGCCACAGTTCAGAAGCAGAATAAGTAATGATTTAAAAATAAAGTCTTTCTGCCTCTAAGGTCATTTCCATGACACCCTGCTATCTGTCCAGGAAACAGAATAGTCCAAGAAACTTGTCAAAAAGTAGATGAGAATGAACTTCAGTGAGAGGCTGTCCTGTGAACAACATATGAATTTTGCAGTGGAAACATGGAGCATGATTTGATTCCCTATTTCTCTCTTTTTTCCCATGATCCATAGAATGGACATAGGTAGATGAGCAGCAGAATGAACCCATGCAGACCTTGTAAGGCTGGACACTGACTGTCCAGAGACAGAGGTCTACTCCAGGTTCTAGCTCCTCTCTGTACTTTGTTCACTTACTCAACTTCCTACACACCAGCCTTTATGTTGATAGTAAATAGAATAAGAAAGAAAAATGGGCTTCTCAGGTGGTGCCAGGTTACAACTTATTTCTCACTTTAAGATCTGGACATCTCCCCCCATCCTAAGGTCACATACCATAGGTGTTTCCTACTCAGCATGTTCACACCTGGATCATTATCTTTTTCTCAAATGTTCTAAACAATGTCTTCTTATATCTGGGCACCCATGTCAGAAAACTGATGCTCGACTGGAGACCTCCCTGCCTAAACTCCACAGCCTATCTGGAACGAATATTTAATTTATTCACCTTAACATCACGTCCCCACTACAGGGGTCCCTCTTCTGTACACTTTACTATTATTTCTGGGCTATTATCACAGTTTCCACAGTGTCTGAGTCCTTCACGCTGCCTCCTGCTTCCCACAGCCTCAGGCATTGATAGATGTCAGCCTGGGGCAGGAGAAGTGGGAGAAAGCAAACAAGAAAGATGTTCCCACCCCCACTGTACTGCAATCATGTAGCTCAAAAAGTCAAAGTGTTGACCAACAACGAGAAGAGAGAGAGAGTCCAGCCTGGAAGGCTTACCTGAGCCCAGCCTAAGGAGACTGAGAACCAAAGTGAGCACAAGGGCCATGCAGTGTGTCCTGAGAGTCGACCTCAGTTTACGGAAACAGACGACAGCAGGGACGGGCAGGTGGGTTAATCAGAGAGAAGAGGAATCCGCCCAGCTTTCTGAGGTGAGGAGCCATGAAAAGTCATAGCTCGAGCTGATGGAGAACCGCACCATTCTTCTTAGAGTCACCAGGCAGAGACATGGCTGATGTGTTAGCAGAGAGAGGACTCTGGACTTTGAATCACTGCATTTATTGTCAGGCTATAAATATCTATCTCAGACCAAGGAAGCAGTGATAAAAAAGGTGGGGCAAGGCACCCTGGGAGGGGGGTTTGTCTTCGGTCAAAACTATGCCCTGGTGGGTGGCATGGGAATGTCAGATACAGGGATATTTCAAAGTCCAACCTGGCAGGTAGAACTGTATGGGGGGAGTAGGGGTGGGAGTCTAGTCTTAAAAAAGAGGTTGTCCCAGCAGAGGGTCGTAGGTTGGGTGGTCAGTTAGGTGCCATTCGACAAGGAGTAACCGAGGTCGGGTGAGGTGAACACTTCCTGGCACAGCCGAGGTAATACTGTGTCCCCTCCCTTGTCCTGAGTTCAGAGCCAAGACTCTGATTATAAGGCCATATGGGGAAGAACTTGCTAGTACAAGACAAGACCTTAATCTCCAAGGATCCAAGGTATTGGAAAAACTTCCAGAACAGATGAGACCTGGGGAAAAGGTGTAGAACCATTCACTCAGTCATTCATTTTCATACTAAGCCAGGGTATCCACAATTAGAAACTATGCCATCTTTTCAAGAATGTGGAAATTCACAAAGTGATCACTTATTGATCAGAAAGCAAGTTTCCACAACCATGACAAAAAAAAAAATGCATTCTCTAACTATAATGTGATTAATTTAATGAAGCAATTTTAAAACTTCAGAAACCCTATATATTTAGAAATTTAATGACACAGATTTAAATAACTCATGGATCCAAAAAGGAATCACTATAAATTTAGAATGTTTAGAATAAAATATGAGTGAAAATGTCACATTTAGGCTAAAATTCAAAACATGTACAACACCAAATGGTGACATAGAAGTGGAGCAACAGAAACTTTCATGGTATAGTCATTTTGGAAGATAGTTTAGCAGTTTCTTACAAAACTAATCACATTCTCTCTGTACAATCCAGCAATTGCACTCCACAGTATTTACCCAAATGAGCTGAAACCTTATGTTCACATGAAAACCTGCATGTGAATGCTTATAGCATTTTTATTCATATTACCAAAGCTTAGAAGCAATCAAGATGTCCTTCAGTAGATGAATGGATAAACAAACCATGGTACATCCATACAATTATTCAGTATTAAAAGAAATGAGCTATCAAGTCACAATAAGATATAGAAGAATCTTAAATGAATATTGGTGAGTAAAGCCAGTTTGAAAAGGCTACACACTACACAATTCCAATTATATGAATTTATGGAAAAGGCAAAACTATGAAGGCAGTAAAAAGTTCTGTGGTTGCCAGGGTATGGGAGGGAGGAAGGGTGAGAGGAATGAATTAATGGAGCACAAGATATTTTGAGGACAATGCAAATATGTTTTCTCTATGATACTAAATGATGGATACATGTAATTATACATTTGTCAAAAGCCATAGAATGTACAACGCCAGGAGTGAACTCTAATGTAAATTCTTGAGTTAGGGTGATAATGATGTGTCAGTGTAGGTTCATCAATTGTAACAAACGTACCACTCTAGTGGGGACGTTGGTGGGGGTGGAGGCTGAGCATGCATGTATGTGTGTGATGGGGGTTGAGAAGGATATATGGAAACTACTTTATGCTCAGTTTTGTTGTAAATCTAAAACTGCTTTAAAATAAAGTCTATTTTTTTTTAAGTGAAGATGGTACCTAAAGGATGTGGTTCTGGAAATACTATCACTAGGACTGGCCATGTGTCTCTTTTGCTGTTGTTGAATTATTTAATTTTAAAAACAACCTTATGGAAGCATAACTGACATAAAATAACCTGCACATAGGTAAGTTGTTTAATTGGTACGTTTATGTGTTTACCCATGAAACTATCACCACGAAAAAGAGAGTGAACATTTGTGCACTCAAGAAGCAGCCTTGTTCCTGTTTGTAATCCCTTCTATCCTACTTTCCCTTCCAAGCAACCACCGATGTGTTTTCTGTCAGTGTAGATTCGTTTGCATTTTTTAGACTTTTATATAAGTGATGTCACACAGTGTGCATTCTTTGTTTTAAGGGTTTTTTTCGGTCTGACTCTTTTCACTTGGAATAATTATTTTGGATTCATCCATGTTGTGTGTATGCCATTAGTTTATTCTTTTTTATTGTTGAGTAGTATTTCATTGCATGGATATACCATCATTTGTTTATCAATTCATCTGTTGATATCGTCTGAATCATTTACAATTTTCGGTTACTACAAATAAAACTGCTGTGAATATTCATGTAAAAGTTTGTAGAAAATGTATTTTCTTTTCTCTTGGACAAAATACTTAGAGTGAAGTGGTAAGCATCACACAGTAAGGGACTGTTTACGTTTTAAAGAAACTGCTAAACTGTTTTCCGAAGTGATCGTACCACACCACTTCCCCATCAGCTTAGTACGAGGCTTTCAGTCCCTCCGCATGCTTGTCAACACTTGGTATAATCAGTCTTTTTCATTTTACTCATGCTCATAAGTGGTAATAGTATCTCATTGTGGCTGTAATTTGTTTTTTCTTACTGTCTAAGGATGTTGAGATTCTTTTCGTGTGCTTACTAGCCATTGCTATATCTTTTTTGCTGAAAGATTTCTTAGTAATGGTTGTTGAATATGTCAAACATTCTTTTGCTGCATCTATTGAGATAATCACATGGTTTTCTTTTTTAGTTTGTTAATGTGGCGAATTACACTGGTTAATGTGTAAATATTAAATAATTCCTTCATTACTAGGACAGACATATTGGCAGTAATGTATTATACATGCAACATGTTGTTGAATTCAATTTGCTAAAATTTTATTTAAATTTTTGCAACGATATTCTTGAATGATACACATCTGTATTTTTCTTTCATATTATTCTAATATCTTTGCCTGGTTTAGGTACCAGGGTAAGGTTAGCTTTATATAACGAATTGGGAAATCCTCTCTCCTCATCAAATTCTTTGAGCCTGGCACAGAAAAAGTGAATAACTATTATAGAGGGGAATTGGAATAGAGAAAAACTAATCAATATGAAATAAACAAACAGATCATGCTGTAAAAGTTTAATATAGAGAACACATCATCAGCTCACACCAGGTCATCAACAAGATGCAGCACAGATCACATTCACAGTCTTTCCTCTTCACTCTACTTGGGGGGATTCCTGTTCTGTTTAACAGGTCAGGAGCCTGATAGATCAATAGGTCGTTACTTGCCAAAGGTCCTTTGACAGTGCAGAGCTGGTGCAAACTAAATGCACTGTCCTTCTTCCCTCCCCTCCTCGGGACAGCCATGACCCCTGACCCCACACAGATAGGCCAAACCCTCCTCATTTGGAAGCCATCCTGCTGTCTGCTGCACAAAGCTGGACCCTGAGAGAAAGGAAGTTCAGTGTCTGGAGGGAGAGTGTGAGGTGTGATTCCCTCAGGGCATCATCCTGGAGAGGAAGGGTGTGGTCACCTGTGGCAGGGGCTCCAGGTTGTCTGTGTCAGAAAACACTTCTTTCTCTGATTCCTGGGACACTGAGCAGGTCACTATGGAAGTTACGTTTTCCTCATCATTCACATAATGTTGGATGTAGGGCCTCAGTAACCCTTCAAACTGATGTGTCAGGGTATAAATGAAGGACTGATCATTTACATTGAAGAAGGAGATGGCCCCACCCTCATAGTTTAGGAAGAC